ATTATGTATTTTGTTGAAAGTTTATTTATTAAGTAATGATTTTTTTATTGTAGACATTAAATAATAGCGTTAAACAATTTTTTAGATATATAAAATTGAAAAGAATTAATTTTAATAAAATATTATTGTATTTTAATTTATTATTTAAGAAAGATCGAATTTTATTTTTAAATTAAACTAAATTTAAATTGGAATAAAAATAGAAATAATTTTAACAAAAATTAAATCACATAAACTTTCAACAAAATTCAAAAATACATAATTTATAATTGGATAAAAATTAATTAATTTATAAAAGGGTATTTAAAATTAAATATATTTTACTAATTGTAAATATTTTTAGATATAGAATTTATATAAATATTTTTATATTTAAATTTAATATCTATATCAATTCATTTTTTTGTAATATTTTAAATTTTTTATAAATATTAGAAAAAATTAAAATTTAAATCTTTTTAAGTTTTATATTTATATTAAAATTTTAATTTTAATTTTTTATAGTTTTAAATTTAAATCTTTTTAAATGTATTTTAATATATTTTTTATTTAAAATGTATAGATTTTTATAATAATTTAAAAAATAAATACTAAGTGCATATAAAATACTTGGATGTTTAATGATGAGTCATCAGCATATAAAATATTTAATGCTGACTCATCACTTTTTTTTGTTGACTCATCACTTTTTTGGATTGAAATTGACGCTGTTAACGGACGGATGTTTGATTGGGAAAAAAAATTAAAAGTCTGGGTATTTATGTGGGATTTGTAAAAAGTTCAGGTATTTATATGACAATTTTATAGTTCGGGTATTTATGTGAGATTTTTTTAAAAATTCGGGTATTTTTATGCGATTATCCCCTTTTTTCGGGAGTGTATATTAAATATAACACTTTTTATTTGTTATATTAATCTATGTTAGAGATCGAATCAATCCTAAATCGAAATTGACCTATGTGATCCTTATTTATCAATGAGATACTCATATAACCCCCTTATATTCTAAAAAGTAATTAGTTTAGATTTCAGTAAAAAAAAATATTATCGATTTTTCTATATATTTTTAATATAATTCGGCTGTATAAAAATGGATTTTTGAATATCTTAGATCCTATTTAGGTTATTCTCGGTGTCTTTCGCGGAATGTATATGGTTTTTTCTTTACAAAAAAAAAAAACAAAAATCTTAAAAAGTATTGTGTAATTACTTCTTTTATGTCAAATAATGAGGATGTAAATTCGCTAGATGAAAAAAAAAAATCGAAGATTGGATCTTCGAAAAAGCATGTTCCGTTATTTAAACTCCTCATCAAGTATAGCCATTATAGGATGCAAAATAAATCAAACCGAAGGATTAGCGATAAACACAATTAATTAGTAACGAAATTATGTCTTTGTAAATTTGTAACAAAGAAACGGTATCGATTTTCCAATAAAGTTTCAACAAAACTGCACAAAAAAAAATAACCGTTGTTATTTTAAGACGGTTTTATAATAAAATTAATTCGTTGCAATACAAAAAAAAAATCTGAAAAAATGTCCTAATTTTTCACAAAATTTGGTAGTCAATTGGAACGAAATTACGTTGCATTATGGATGGAGTAATTTGGTAGTCATATATTTGTTTTATACAATAACACAAATGTATTAACGTCATTTCCCCTCGCCTATCGATCTCTTCCATGTGACAACAACTACGCCCATTATTACATTGCTGACGACGACGGTGTGATATTAGACTAGATTGATTTAATTTAGTTTCAATTAGACTTTGTATATATTTATTTTAAAAATTTTAGAGTTATTTTAACTTTCAATTAATTTTTTAATTTTTAATTTCAATTTTTTTACTTGAAAATACAAGCTCGCGGTTGTAAAGTGGTTGCGACTCGCAACGGTTTTCATCGAAATATTTTCGCAACAGATTTTGTAGTAACGAAATAAATTTTATTGCAAATCGTTACAATAGTTTGCAACGAGTTAGGCAGTTTGTAACAAAATTATCGCGACACAACGCTCTAGTTGTATTTTGTAACGTAAACCGAATGTGTGTTTTATTAAGTAAAATCTTATGATTTTCTTTTCTTAATTATCCGGTCATACGAAGACGAAGAGATCCCTAATTTTTTTTTTTTGGTAAGTCGGGTTTCCCAGGCCCAAGAGCCCAGACTAATCCCGGCCCACGCATGCGAGCCTGCAACACACACGTCAGTGTAAATCGGCCGAAACCGGCAGGCGAAAGAGGAATCTCCATACTATGGGTGTTGAACTCACGACCTCGCTTGAGGAAGTGAGCTCTCAACCAACAGTGCTGGGGATTCCCCAGAGATCCCTAATTTTACTTATACTATGGTGCCAAAAATTAATTATAGTACTAAATGTTGAAGTAGGAAAATGAATATGTGATTGAAAGAAAATCTAGATTTTAGAGGAACACAATATTATGTTAAATATTGTGAATCATATTTATTTCCGTTATATCTATATTTCCTTTTATTTCATTTGTTAATTTTCCTATAAATATGTGAGTTATTTTCATTGTAATGAAACAAGAAGAAGAAGAGATGTAGCAATAAAGTAATTCCGTTTATTTTCGTTTGTCTTATTATGTTTCCGCATTTTATTTTTCTACACTAAAGCTTTTACGAATTAAAATGCTAAATGACTGAATTATAATTACATATCTATCACTATAAATATCACATTACGGGAAGAACAATTTCAGTCTCCTGAAAAAAAAAACATCGTACGAGGAAACATTAGAAAACATCAATGCACTCAGTCCATCTGTAAATTATTACACTGTGTTCGATCTATACGAATAAAACTGCACGGGGGAAGGGGAACACAATAACAACTTCATCAAGAAAATTAAAAAAAAAAAAAGAAAGATCCAACAAAGTAATTAGGTTAAGGTTGTCTTTAAGGTCTGGACATGACGAGGGTAAGAGTGATGCTGAGGGTCAGGCCCTCCAGGAGAAAACCTATCTATTTCCGCGCGTACATAGAACTTCCGATGACGCTTCGATATCGACAGGTCGTATCCAAGTCGCTGCAAAAGGTCGTGGCCTCGGCGCCTATCTTTCTCCATCCAAATCTGAACTCTCCCCTCAATACCGACAAAGAGAAACCCGAACGCTACGAGCATCAGTAGTAACAACGAGCGTATAAGTGACATTTTACAAGCCATCAATCGAAACTATGTATATATAAATATGTGTCGATCGTTATAAGAAAGATAGTTATAGGATTATATGATGAGTAGAATATATAGAAGATAGGACTGAATAGGAAAAAAGCTAGTGATTCTATATATAGGCAGATGAGAAGGATCATAAGAAGAAGACAAAACATGTATATACTATTGCATAGTGGAACTATTGTGCAAACTAAATCCAATATTTAAGCTATTGAGGCGGCCACGAATTCAAATTTAAGGGCATTAATGCAGATATAAGGTTTAAATTATGGACCGCGACCTCCAATTTCATGTATCACTACCACCACCATTTGATAGAGGATTTTGTTTGTCTCTACCTCTATTTGAATTCCTTTTTATAGAATTTTCATGGGAAAACTCTATGAAAACATCCCATCTTCAACGGCACAAAAATCAATTTATCAAAGGGTATTCCGTTTTATGTTTAGTTGAAAGCTAGATTTATTTTATTCGATTCATTTCATTAACTCAGATTCGACTAATTCGGTTTGGAATAAGGATACCCACATAGAATTGTGATTTGTACTTAGTTGGTTCGATTATGTGTATAGTTATAAAACCTTAATTAATGGTCCTAAAACAAATTCTCACCCCAACATCATACATTACGCCAAATAATAATATAAAACATGTGTTTCCATTTTCTTTTTTGATAATCTGAAAGTTTATGGAGTCTTCAATCCAATTACATCTATAAGAAAATAAAAAACGTCCAAATGAATACTTTTTTTTTTGATAACTAGGATGGTTCCTCGGATCTTCGGCCCGACTACATCCACCCTAGATCCAGGACCAGCCTTTGTATATGGATCATTTTAGTCCAGAAATTATATCTTTCCCACCAGTGGAATCGAACCCAGGATCTTGATGATGACTTTGTTACCTCTCAACCACTGGGCCACCAACTGTTGGGTTCCAGATGAATACTTTGTTTCATCGTTTACGAATTAAGCCACTCAATTTTGGGGAGGTGTTTTCAAATTTAAATTAAGTGCAAAAAAGATGGATAAAATTAATGGAATATGGTAATGCGAAATGCCATTTGAGTTGCCAAGCATTAACGGTAAAGGGAGTATGCTTTTACAACGTTTGTGACTTCCTTTCGATTGGGATGACCTAATAATAATATGAATGTAGTATAGTTAAAGACTTGAAAAAGTAGCTTTTTCGAGGAAGAATGACGTCCGACACAATAGTGAAAATATTATATGTTATTTTTTTTTTGTGGATGATGAAATAATATAATGTACCTTTCTATAACATAATTATTTTTTTTGTACAAAAAGAAAAGGAGAACATCGTTGTCATGCATGCGATGCGTGTACTTTCTTAGCTAATCATAGTGAGTGAGCATCCAACTTTAACTGATTACGAATTTTGTCTGGATTATTACATATGCTTAGACATAAGTGGGATAATATAATACATACGTGTATATATATATATATATATGTATGATGTATGCGATGTATGTATAGTCTGCGATATGAGGTTCATTCTCTGTTTATATTTCTGGCTTGTTTTCACATTAAACTGAAATTAATTCTTCCTATATTGCAACGGATAGGTATATACATGTCGAGATCATTTTCAAAGTTTCTAAAATTCTCTTCACCTCTAGTTAATATATATTTATGCAAACGTTTAATAATTCATATAAAGGAGCTATTTTTTTTAATTTATGAAACTGTTATATTTCCCGTAAATAGTTCAAATTCATGGACAGCAAAAAGCTAGTGTTGTAATAACACAAAAGAAAGGACAATATGATACAAAATAGTTGATCGATTAACAAGAGACATACAAATTATGTGTTAAAACTTAAAATTAAGATGGTAACCAAAGAGTTACACCAAGGAAAGTTTTTTTTTTATGCATGCATGCATGCAAAGGCTCTCGTACAATGTTTTTTAGAAGGCCTGAAACCTCGTTGGTCATATATATCAAACTATATATATATATATATATATATATATATATATTCAGTGATGCCTAGGGTCCGGTCCGCCCGGGCTGAGCCTCTTCGAATCTGAATTGTTGGATAGAACGTTGTCTTCACCATCAGGTTCCACCTTCAGCTCTTCGGATCTCTCAATAAGTGCCCTCAGCATCTTTCTCATACTCGCCGAATCCGACCGGCTCCCTTGAACAAGCAGAGGACGACATTGATGCACCGAGATTTCGAGTAAAAGCAAGGTGAGGAAAATCCAGAATTTGAAACTTGCCATATTAATTTCAGGTATATTAGAGACTGGCGATATCCAATTCGGCTAATTCTTCTTACAACAGCTAGATTTTTGGAGTGGAAAACACAGACGATCTTGGATGGAGAGGCGTCTAAGTTAAAGGTATTTATAGTTAAGCAATTCGTTAATAAGAAAGAGATTAATGGTTACATTAATTTAAATATTTATGGTTGGGTTCATCAATATGTTATTCTCTATAATTAAGTTGAAATCGAGTCAGATCTAGTCAGCAAAATGTCGTCTCCTTCTAACTCTTGAAGGGTCATCTGCTTAATTAAGTAAGCCGTTTTTTTTTCATTTTTCTTCATAAAGGTAAAACTTTACAGATAATCATACAATAATTCTCATATATCTTATGGAATGCTAGCTAGCGATTCATGCAATCAATATGCTGTAAAAAATAAAATAAGTAAAGTAGGTGGCTTATAATCCGGCCGGTTATAAATGATCGAAAGGTTAATCCCATGCGAAAGAAGGTTTAGGGTTTAGGGTTTAGGGAGAAATAAATGTGTGCTTGATGTTATTTACAACGGATAAAAGACACGTTTGTACGAGGATAGGTGCGTGCCGTGTGTGTGTATATATATATATTGGATGCATTTATTAATGCAATAAGGGTCACAGCCTTATCCTAACCTAATATTATTTACCAAAGCTTTTGCTGTCTTCGTCAACATTTAGCACATACGAAACTGACGTCAAATCTTGTTTCCGTGAAGTGATGAACACGTTTCATGGAATACCTTTTTTTTTTACTTTGGGTAAAGGTCATGAAATACTTCTTTCCACTAAAAAAACAAAAAACAAATAGATCTCCTTCTACATTATAATTCATCGCCTTGCGTTATTCTTCTTCTTCGGCCTCGGTTTCATGGTGGTCAACCTTCTTCCCGCTCTTTTTTTTATACTTCTTCTTCTTCGAATCTTTATATGACTCGGAAAATTACAGAGTGAGCGAGCTCTCATCAGATCTAGGGTTAGCTCCTGCTTCATCATCACCATGGACAGAATCCTAATTAGTACCATACCATGAACTTATCTCGTGAGGATCTTACACTACGTACCAAACATGCATGAACGTACAGTAAAATACTTCAATCTAACAACACACTGAATTCAGTTCATTCCTTGTAGAGTTGACGTCGAAGTGACGACGACCAAGCGCATGAAGCTTGCACAGTTTTCGCATGCATGGAAATGACGTGTCAGACAAAACTAAAACCTTAAAAAACATATTATACGTATGTGTGTGTGTGTGAAGTGGTTGCCGCGTCCATTTCAATTTAGGTGTAAGAGACAAGAAGCAACAAAAGTCGGAAATTAAAAATTCGAGGAGAAAGGGAAAAAGCAACATGGCTTTTCAAACCATGGTTCTGATATATGATTTGTTCTTTTTGGTTCCTATATCTAATTTTAATGTTTTACGACTGTCTTATTCGGGTACAAAATTAATAATGTAACATGATGAATCCAACGGAGATTCAGCACACAAAACTTTATATATATATATATATATATATATCAACATCATCGTCATTCATCATCACTTGAGATTCTGTCACAAATTAATTATAGTCATGCATCGTGATTGTGAAAGGCTTCGTGCTTTGTGGTTGCCCAATTTTATATGGTTGGTTAGGAAATTCAAAATAATGCGCAATTAAACTATATATTACACACACGCACGCATTAAAATGACAACATGCACCATTTGATTTTTGAGAGTTGGAACCAACCTTATGCAAACCTTGTCGTCGCAAAAAACAATATCTGAAAGATCACATATCTGTATACTTATATAATTCCCAGTCAACTTTACTCTGCTTAAGTGGAGAACTATATATATTATATGTCAAATGCGTAGTACAATACATTATGCTAATTTTAAGAGCTTTACACAGCTGCAAACGAGGTCTTAAAAAAAAATGGATATTATTGGGTTTACCGTTTTATTGTTTTCAAAATTACTTTAAAGTAATATATAAATAATTTTTTATCGATGTACAATGAAATAGTATCTAAATAATAATTTAACTATTATCTTTCTTAAGTGGACCGACTTCGTACTAATAATATGTATAATGCCTACTCTTCTTTTTAACTTTTAATATATATATATATAACACAATACAATTAATATTCTTGTCCATGCTGGTAATAAGAATTCAGAACAAGTTAAATTTAACTCAAATAGTTTGTTCTCCTTCTGGATTTCAGGCGCTCATCGTCTACAAGAAAAGACCGTTTAAATAGGTGAGAGTCAACGTTGACTGGTCATCAAGCCTCTCAGTCAAAGTTGGTCAAACCAAAAGTAGGCGATTCGACGGCCATGTAAGGGAAAGGTTTTTAGGGTTTATTATTATTATTATTATTAGGGCGGACTATGCAAATACAATGATTGCCAATTTATTATTATTAAATACTTTGGGCGAGAATATTTTATTTCGTACTATTGTGGATATTAAAATTTGTATTCAAATAGAATATATTTCTATAGAATGAAAATTGAATTGTGTGGATCGCTTATAAATTCTTAATGCTTTAATTATAGATATATGTTTCCACTAAAATTTTAAATCTTTATTCGCATGTTTCTTACCTCACCGTTCCATATAGCACCACTAAGTACTAACCCACCATTTTAAAAAAAAAATAATTTGTCCTAATAATAAAAAAATAAAGGTCAAATGGATTGCGCACCCAAAGAAAGGAGCTTTATCTTATCGAATGTATAGTTCAAGTTTCGGCTTTTTTATCCAAATATATAGAGAAAGCTTTTCTATTTGCGGGCTGTGCCTTTACCATAAGAAGCACTATATGTATATATCTATTCTTAATTAGCGTTGACTTTGCCTTTAGGTGGGCCCTTTTGGATTTGATATCTCGGTTAGTATTTTTTTTGATAATTAGTGGCCCAGGACGGGATCGAACCTGATATCTCGGTTAGTTGATGATTAAATCGGGGTTATGTGACTTAATCAACCATTATATTTATAGTATTCCTTTTGTTTTTTTTTTTTTGTTATGCTTGTGGTTCGGCGGAGCAAAAACAATATCCGTACGTGATGGGGAAGAAAAGTGACACCAATTGATATAATATATACATATATATATATATATATATATAAGATTATAAGAAGCGGCGGTTGGTTTTCAATTCAAGTTGCTAATTATTAAAAAAAAAAGGGAACATTTATTTTTGTTTTCAATAAAAAATGGAAACTTTATTGGTACAAAGTAACCCGTTTTTTTATTCGTCATTCTTTTTGTTAAACAAAACAAAATATTTTATCTTGGATATCTAATAACAAATTTTGAATGTTCTTAACTTATATACGAAAATAATTAAAAAAAATGAATGCAATTTTTTTTTAGAAATAAATATTTTTCTTATAAAAATTGAGCCGATATAAAAAATTGAAGAGATGCAGTTTCTATAAAACAAAAAAAAAAACAATCGAAACGAAATATAAGCGAAATTCAGAATATGGACCATAAACAAAACAAAACGAATTTTGTAAAAACACAGCAAATCAACAATTTACACAATATGTACGCAACTTACATATATGATATTAATATAAGTTCTTGATATGTCAACATATCGAACCTAATAACGTGAATTCCATCAGATATGTAGAGTTTAAGTAAACGGAGGCATTGTTCATATAGAACGGTATCATATGCATGCATGCATGTATGAATATATGCATGCATACATGTATGTATATATGTATGTATGTATGCATGTATGTATGTATTAAATCTAAAAAGAGATTCAAATGAACTTTATTTTCAATCTGTAATGAAAATATCATTAACCAAACTCATGAAATAAAAACCCAAACTCAGGTAAGCCTTATAGGTATATGGGCCTTATCCTAAGTTGGTCTAAATAATCCAAGATTCAAAATCACGCACGTTTTTTTTTTCTTTTGTATTATTATTGCTCCAAGCCATTGATTTCTTTTTTGCACGTACATATTGGGCATGCATGTGTACGAGCGATCACATCACAACCATAACATGCATACATGTGCATATTACCATATTATACATATACACGCAAATCAGTAGTCCAAATTAACGAAATAAATCACGTGTGTGTATGTATATATAATTTGAAATGCAAAGGCGTTGTCAAATAAACAAGAAAAATAAACAATTCGTTTTATATATTTCAATAAATTTTTGGAAAGTTTTTTATATATTATAATCCAATGTGAAAGTGCCAAGAATGTGAGAAGGAGAAAAAGTATAACAAAATCAACCAAGGACACGAATTATGTCATTAACAAGAAGAATAAGATTGATAAGAGAAAGAAACTAATATCCAGACTCTACTGGCGTCGATAAATGCATAAAAATAACAAGTTTGATACACACACACACACACACATATATATATATATATATATATATGTATATATGAACACATATATTTAATAAATCAGATATATTATAAACCAGCCAAACGTTTATCAATAGTAATCGATGCACGGTTACAGAAAGGCAGTTTGTATAGTACGTACGCGTGAAATATGTTGAGGGGTATTTCTGTCATTTCATTTCCATAAAAGGCGTAACGAACTTCCATCGCCACGTAGGCATGCGAGACGAGCACAGTACTCGGACCCTATATAAAGCACTGTGACGCGACGATTTTAAAAAAAAAATAGGAGAGAAAGAGAGAGATGAAAATGGAGGGAGACGGAGAAAATGGAAGCGGAGGAGGAAGAAGGCAGCTACTAGGAGGGGTCAAGGAGAAGATGTCTCTCGAACATTACGTCGATTTCTTCATCTCTCGCGACAGCCACGGTTTCACCGTCAATTTCCTCAATCAGGTTTCGATTCGTTCTTCTCCCTTTCTCTGCTTCTTCTCATCATCTCATCGATTTATGTTTTCTTTTGATTCTGCAAATGTTGCATGTAGATTCTGATGAATTCAATTCTCCTCCCTCTCGTATTTTTTTTTTTTTTGCCGCTGCAGGTCATTCAGATGCACGGTTTCATGAAGATCAGATCGCCTAAGGTACGCATCGATCACCTCGCTCTCTTTCTCTCTCTCTCTGCGGAGACTAAACTGGACTCCATCGTTGGTTTTCCATAAACTTCAGTAAAGCGGAATGAGCCTCCCGTTGATTTTCCCAGTTAATTAAATCTATTTTTTCGATTTGAAGCTCCAATTGCAACTCGCAAAACTCCTAGAAATTTTCTCTGTAAGAATGCTCTGTGTCGTTCTTTCAGTTGCACTCTGGGATTCTCCTTCATTGAAAACGATGGCACAAATTTCTTTGATGTTCGCCTTTTAATCGGCATGTCGCAACTGTTTCTTCTTTCTTGGTCTTTTTAGAATAAATTGTCGCGACTGTTTCTTGACACGTAAGTAACCGTTTCACTGATGAGTGTGACAGAATGTGATAGCCGACGCCATCGATACACTAGATCTAGTAGAACCTTGGCGCTCGACTGTGAAGCAGAATGTTACTTCGTCGACAGCCACTTCGACCCTAATTCTCGATGACGTGATAGCCGACCTCGAATACCTGAAATGGCAGGAGTGCTGTATGACTTCACTTCAGATCCTCAACGCTGAGAAAGAGGCAGCGAAAATCGCACCTGCAATGTCTAAGTTTAAAGACAAATCGAGCAAGAGGAAGAAATCGTCGACGAAGAGAGATGATTCCCTAAGAGCGGTAATACAGTAAAAAGTACATGCGGCAGCGGTAATGGAGGAACTGGAAACGTCGAAGCTGATGTACCATCATCATCACTTGAAGTACCGTTCATCAAGATTCCAAAGTAATCCATTTAAATTGTGTTCCATCTCCAGCCATTTGAATGTCTTCTCGAAATTACATTGGAAGATTTTTCCCAAGATTGAATCGAGATCTGTACTCGCGTGCACATTATACGACCATCAACCTCTTCGCCCTTTTTTCCCCCCCGGCTGCAACAACACTTAGGGAGCCTTACTGAACTCCGTCTATTCATATGAAATCATGTCCTGTGGTTCATACGTTCAAGCTTTGAACCATGTCGTCTACTTGAATAATGCGGTGAGCAATTCACAGATGGATTACAGATTACTTTTTTCGACGGCTTCAGCTTCATTTGTCTTCCGGTGCTTAGCCCTTGTTAGAAATTAATCGAAGAACACATGCATTTTATTTTTCTGGTTTTTCATTTTGAAAAAAAATAAAAATTGATGAAAAAGAAATAATTGAATGAACGGATGAAATAAAAGAGAGGAGATAGATTAGATTTCTTTTTTGATTTTTTTGCTCTATCTAAATCTGAGCCTTTTCTCCTTTATTTATAAAGTTCAAAATAACAACCCAAAAAGATACGCGCACACGAGTCTCGGTGCTTATTAACAACCAAAAAACAAGAAGAAATCAAAACAAATAAAAACAAAAGACACGTGGAAACAAGATGAATTGCAACAATCACCTCCTTAATCTTGTTCATATGTCTTCACCTAGAGCAAAGTGGCCTCTTCTTCAACCTCTTCGACCAAATGGGCTGTGTCATCTCTCTCTTCTCTTGTTTTGCAATCAGAAGCGAAATGACCATATTTCTGACACGCATAACACATGATCTTGTTTATATCAAATTTTGGTCTCTCACCTCCTCGACCACGACCTCGTCCAAATGAACGACCTCTACCACGACCTCTTCTCCAATCACCTTGAGCGAGGAGAACGTGTTCATCAATTCTCGATTCACGACCCTTTAACCGTTCCTCATGCGCCTTAAGTGATCCGGTAATTTCCTCGATAGACTTAGTCGTCAAATCTCCAAACTCCTCAATAGTTGATGCCAATTGGATGTATTTCGTAGAAACTGATCTAAGCATTTTTTTTAACAACGTACCCTTCGTTGACGCTTTCTCCCAAAGCTTTTAATTTGTTAATTATCGTTGATACTCTTCCGGTGAACTCATCCACCGAGTCGTTCTCTTCCATTTTGAGTCCTTCGAGCTCCCATCGTAGCGATTGTGCTTTGACCTCCTTTACTTTATCTGCACCATGATTTAACATCTTTTAAGGCATCTCATGCTTCTTTTTCCGTTCTTTTTACTCCTATCTGTAACAGAGTCTCCTCACTTATGCCCTGACAGATTGCTCCACGAGTCATCTTATCTTTGCTCTTATCGACATATCCCTCTAACTCGATCGCATCCCAAACACCTTGTGCCTGCATATAAATTTCCATTTTCATAGCCCATACCGTATAATTTGTCTTTGTCAGGAGTGGGTATTGAAGAGACACGCTTCCTTCCTTTATCTTCGTTGTTTCAACACCTTCACTTTGAATACCCTTGCCACTTCGATCGACACTTCGAATGGCACTTTCCGACGACTCTTCCATTGACATAGATTTCGACATGAACTATGAAAGGAAAAACAACCGTGACTCTGATACCACTGTTAGAAATTAATCGAAGAACACATGCACTTTATTTTTCTGGTTTTTCATTTTGAAAAAAAATAAAAATTGATGAAAAAGAAATGATTGAATGAACGGATGAAATAGGAAAGAGGAGAGAGATTAGATTTCTTTTTTGATTTTTTTGCTCTATCTAAATCTGAGCCTTTTCTCCTTTATTTATAAAGTTCAAAATAACAACCCAAAAAGATACGCGCACACCAGTCTCGGTGCTTATTAACAACCAAAGAACAATTCAAATCAAGAAGAAATCAAAACAAATAAAAACAAAAGACACGATGGAAACAAGATTAAATCCAACAGCCCTGTTCTCCGAAAACGGTAGGACAAGATTAATCTGAAATCTAGAATTCGGCAAGGCAAGATAGAAGAAGACAATAGACAGAGGAAATACCAAATCGGAGTCGTACGAAGATACAGCTGCTACATGGAAGATTCATGTGAGTGGAATTCTAAATCTAAGTTATTTTCAGTAATTCTACGATCGAAAACACAATCGAAGATAATCTATTTTGGTATTTGCCATCAACAGATCATCTAATTGTCGGATCTACTAATGTATTAAGTCAGGTATCCGCAAATTAACAACCGTGGTCACCACTACCACAACTGTTGCTCGGAGGGTTGGGCGCAAGATTTTAAATTTTGAATATCCATAAAATTCGCGATTCAAAATTTCGGGTATTTTTTTTATGGACGGAACGTGCACGTGCGAGTCCATGGCCGAAGAGAAGCCGAAAGGATGGAGATAAGGGTTTCGTGGTTGAGTTATGGTTTTAAAACTGGGGAGATATCATGTGTTTTTTTAAATAATAAAGAATCAAATATATTCAGGAAAAAAAACACTTGGGATTAAGGTTTTGCGGAATCGCTTTTGTCGGTGGTTGGTTCTCCGCCGCTCGCCGCTCGCCGCATCGCCTCCGCCGGTCTCCTCGGCTGTAGAGTATATCTCCGGTCTTCTTTTTTTACCCTTAATAGGGTTGAATAATAATAATAATAATAATAATAATCATAATCATAATAATAATAATTGCATAGCCGTGTGGCCTTTTTTTACCCTTTGGTGTTTTAAATTGCTCAATGTGCGTTTATCCTTTGAATATGACGGTTTAAAAAAACTAATCTCGTCGCGTTTTAATCATAAAATTCGATATAAAAATATACCAAATAGGTAATTTTGATTTGCAAAAATACATGTTCCAGTTTTATCTTACGTGTAGTATCAGAATTGGGCTGAGGATGGAAACCCTAGAAAAACAAAACTGGTTCATACATGACAGATATTAAATTAAAATATGCTATAGAATACGTTTGTAATTATATAAAAACGTAGGTCTATATACGCACGCAAAGCCAGTCAGCCCATTATTATTTTACATGGGTGTGCATTTATTTTAAAAACGCTCCAAAATTTATTATAGTCATCAACTTTGAATTGATAAACGTTAAATTAGCAGTCTACCGGTGCCGACTCGACATTATTTGACCGTAGCTTTCATTTCATCACCAAAGCTTTAGCTACTCATATAAATATTTATTATTTACATATTTATTTTATTCCTTTGAATTTTGACTTTTTTATCAACTACATAGCCATCTTCGATTTACTCTTTTAATTTCAAAAAACCAGATTCATTTCAATTTAAGTCAAAACTTTATAACATTATAAAACCAACTATTATCATTTATCTAACATATAATTTTGTTAAATCCTGATATCTAATTCCTCTTTTATTTTTGGGTTTCTGGGCAGTTATAATTTGGTGATTTATAATTAAAAATGTTCTTCATTTAAGCACATTATTTGTATGTTTTATTAATTAAAATCGTTGATACGATAACGGATAACCAAAATTGTAGGATAACAGTTGAAACTATGATATATTCAATTATTCATGGCAAAATATGTATATTTTATGTATAGAAAGAATTGGATTTTTACCAGAAAAAGTTTTAGATACAAAGGAATTGCTGAAGATTATGTGAACAGAAATTAAAAACTGAGAAGAATGAACAGAATTTATATGGGAAAATTATTTTTATAATCATATGATGATAAACGATAGGTTTAATTCTTTTATCCGGCTTCCAATATTAAATTTAGTGCGTCGGTCGTGAGTGAAGAAAACATATAAATAAATTTAAAAAAAAGTCCGACTTTAATCACATGGATTCGCACGTCAATGATATTACGTACAAAAGTAAGAGGACGACCATACTCACATGATCCAATTTAAAAAAAAAATGTATGAGTACCAACTCCTCAAATTTTAGACCAAGCATTTTTTTTTTAAAATTGAAAAATCAGAAAAAAAAAATTAGAACTCAATGAGGTAAAAATAAAGAGGAAGTTTGTTTATTATATGCGTCTCTTTTTTGTTCTGAATTATTTTTTCCCGTCATTTTTTCTATTAGAGTTAGTTGTTTTCAAAATAATTTTACTATTTGAAAAAATCTGGTTTGTATTTTTTTTAACAAATTGTTTAAATAACTTTTTCTTTTAAAAAATTACAAAGAAGTTTTAAAATAAATATGATTTCCTCTTAAAAAATCACTTTCAAGATATAAAAGTCTAGGTATCATTCACAATTCCCAATGCAAAAAATCGCATTATTATTTAATTATTTTTAAAATCTTGACAACCTATCATCATTCTGTGCTTTTTTTTTTCTTTTATATGTATTACTATACATTTGGTTCTATCTATATATGAATTAAAAAAATCAATAGTTTTCTTTTGTATCTTTGCAAATTGTTCTTGTTGCCAAAATCAACTACTCCCACATGCCCCCACACATGCATACTTATTTTGTATTCTCATTATTGCTTCACTTATAAAAATCTATAGAATAAAATTATATATGCAGAAATAATATTACAAAATATATACATATATACACATACAATAAATTTTTGAATTTTCTAAAAATCAACCAAAATATCATTCACTCAATAGAGAAAATTTTGAAAAATTCGTAAATGTTTAGCTCTCATTCTTTTTAAATTTACATTTTTTTTATTACCATAATTTCTTTATTAAAAAATTAAAGAAAAAGGCTTTTCCATGAAGGGAAAGACAGCTAATTCTGTTAAAAAAGAAAATGAAAAAAAAAAACAGGGGAAGAAAACCAAAGTAAGAATCAGACAACCTCATATTATTCCTTTCGTCTCTCTTCATTATTCCATCTCCCAATCACTTCCCCTCTCTATAATCTCATCTCCTCTCTCTCTCTCTCCCCGCATTGAATCCCGCGTTATCTCACTGGTATTTCATTCCCCTCTCTCTTTCTCTCTCTGTATATGTATCTGTATATGTGTACCTATACATCTCTGAGTCGTCTCTTTCTGCAGTGTCTATCGCAAATCTGTTTCCTAGTCACAACTTTAAGCGATCAATTTCTCGAAAGCTACTTCTCTTTTCTCTGATCAATCTCAATCCTGAAGTGGGTATATGGTCTTTTATATAAGCACAGTTCTCAGATGTTTCTATATATATATATATATATGTATGTGTAGATGTATGTAAGTTGATATTGTCGGCGCAGACTTTGACAGGAAATTCCAGCGTGTTCTATGATTCTTCTTCTTATTTTGGGTAATTCGTTGCGCCATTCATGAATTTTTCTGGGAATCTGGAAAATTTCCTACTTGTGTTGTTAAAATGGGTCTTTTCCTCGAATCTCTGGCGCTCAAGTGTTTCTTGAGTTCTGTCATTAAGCTGTCTGTTTGGTTCCCGAGAAAACTGTTGGGGAAGAACACAAGTTCAGGCTTTGGTTTTGATTGAGACGTGACATTAATCTGATGAGTTGTGATCTTTTTTGGCTGGATTTATTGTTTGGAATGTTCTGTTCTGATGATGAACTGGTTACATGTCTGTTCCCAGAGAGCTTTGATGGAAGAGAAGAGACTAGATTTCGACCGGCCGCTCCTATCCATTAGAAGGCCTTCGTCTACGCCAACCTCGGAGCCGGGGAACAGAACAAGATCTCATGATTCAGCAGCACCAAAGATGCTTACTCCTCCTGTTTACAAGTCTGACATAAGATCGGGTCCTGTCAGGAACCCCGGAACAGTTCCCTTTCAGTGGGAACACAAACCGGGAAAACCCAAAGACGATAACAAATCAGATTCGCAAGTTCTTGAGCAGCAGCCACGCTTGGTGCCGAAGCTTCCGCCGGGTAGGACGTTGAATGTTAGAGAGAATGGTTCCGGGAGGAAGGCTGAAACTGAAGTTGTTGTTCAGACAAAACATGGGAACGCTGCCATTGCAGAGAATGCGAGAAGTTCTTCTCGCTCTGAGTACGACGATTGTGACGGTAACGAGGCCTATGTGGATGTCATTGACACGCTTTCAAGATCTGAATCATTCTTCTTGAACTGCAGTGTAAGTGGTGTAAGCGGGTTGGATGGTCCGAACCTGCATCCCTTCTTATCTGATCCGAGGACTCGGGATTTCATGATGGGGAGGTTCTTGCCCGCAGCGAAAGCATTAGCTTCAGAAACACCTCCACATCTTACTAGAAAACCGCCTCTACCGAAAGAACAGCCATGGCAGATCAAGAAGGAGGTCGTGCCCAAGATTAATATGAAGCATACGAAAACAGTTCAGAGACATTTTCTGGTTCAACAGCAGGAGAGATGGGAGGATAGCGGAGACGAGGAGGAGGATGATGAGTCTGTTACACGCAAAAGCACAATGCCTGGAGTCTGTGGATTACTACCTCAGATTTGCTTGAAAAGCTCTTTCGGGGTTTTGAACCCGGTGCCATCCATGAGAGCGCAGGCCCAAAGAGCTGTTTCTGTACGTAGTCGGCCTTCTAATCATCCGAACTCGATACGTTGCCATGAAAATGAGAACAAGGTGCTTCAAAATTCTGTTCCTTTCTCCTGTTTCGAACCATCATGTGAGAGATATTTTTCTTACCAGATTACTTCTGTTTGTTTATAGCACGGTAACGGAGCTCGACATGAACAAAGGTTAAGTCCGAGATGTCAGAAAACAGAGATGCAGGAAGTTAAGATGAAGTCGAATACCGAAGCTAAGCAAAGCCCGTGTGGAAGAACAGCTCAGAAACCAAATGGGTCATCAGCTCCGCAAGGTGAGGAGGCATTCGCAGTAGCAACTTTTATCTCACAAGAGAAGGAAAAAGCTGAGAATTATGTTCATGTCTCAATGGATAATCCACGTACGAAAACCAGCAAAAACTTCGGAGAGCTGTTGGCTAGTGACGATAATAGATGGGAACCTTGCCATGACAGTCCTGTGTCTGAGAAAACTCTGTATGTAGACACTGTACATACCGTAAGATCCCCAAAGACAGACGCAAAGGTACAAGCAGAGTTCGAGAGCCCTTCAATGGAGGATCTTCAAGTTAAGGATGTCCAAGAATTGTCTGACATTACAGTTGACGAGCCTCCAGTCCAAGAGTTCAGCGAATGCAGAAGCAGAAAAGAGAATGAACACGAGCAGGCTACTGTTCCATTACAAGGAATCGATCTGGAAGTCCAAACGCAGAAAAGCTCGAGTCCTTCTGATGAAAGCTCCAACGGCTATCAACAACAGCTTCTTCCTCCGCCATTACCAAAAGCTCCTTCAGACTCTTGGCTGAAACGTACGTTGCCTACAATGCCGCCGTCAAAGAACCCGTCGACATGGATTTCTCTTGGTAATGCTGAAACCTTCTCCAAGATTCAAGCTTTCCATCTCCAGATCTCTCCAGCAAATCCCACGTGGGAAACCATGGTGAAAACGTCCAACTCTAAGCAAGGGCTCGTCCAATTCTCCAAGGTATCCAAGTATAATAATACGTGTTATACGCATTTATTGAGATACGAAATGCTTCTGTCTGTCTCTCGTTTGATATCGTTTACGGTGTTTACAGGAGAAACTCAACCCTATACCTGAGGCATAATCGCCATTGGAGAATGGCAGAGGAAGGAGGAGAAAGTTCAGAACAGAAACAGTGAAGTTTTGCTTTTTTTTTTTTTTTAATTACTTGTAAATTTGAACATATCTGCTGCAATAAAAAGGTGAAAATTCTTGATGTAAAAATGTGAAATCAAAATGTTCCACAAAGAGATCGTTTGATAATTGGTACGGTACAAGTACAATCACTCGCCACCGAGAACTCTCCCTGTTTCGACACGTGTCGAATTCATTTCAAGGCACGTCTCATTTTCAGACAAGGCAAAGGCATCTCAACGGCCTCTGCGTCCTCACGTCGGTTTCTCTCCATCCATGCGTAACTTCCCACGCGCTCATCAAGGCGCGTGGCGTTTATAGCCAGCTGGCATTACTGGCTAAAAAGCCTTATCCAAAATTCCTAACCAGGCAAATGCTAATACCACTGGCCTGTCTCCTTTGCTATGCCACCGACGAATCTGATTGGCTGTCAAGTAGGACTCGGTGACTGTCGTTGCTTTAAAATGATCTCGATGAAACCAGCCAGCACATATATATATACACACAACGAAAATTCATAAACTTTAATAAAATGTCCAAAAATATGCTCTTCGAGATTCATATCCACGATTTTCTATAGTACACGGCTTGACGATAAATTTCAAAACAAGTCCTCATTTAATGAGTGTTATGATATTTTTGCCCATGATTATATACATTTTCATCATAAAGCCCTCATTTTTTCTCGTGTTGGATTAAAATTTTATAGATCCGTATATCAAATATAGCGTATAAATTACGTAAACATTTTGAATATTTTCTTAAAAAATTTGGTTGTATTTTCCAAGTATTCAATTTATATAGGATGCTATTGTTATTCGAGTTTATTGTGGCCATTTAGCTAATTTGATAAAATATAGAGGCATGTATAATATTTTGGATAAATGTAAGTATTTGTCCTTTTCTGTGTTTTTCCATATAAACCCTAAATTAATTTTTTCACATTCATTTTTTTTTGTTGGATGATCGGATTCCTCTTCTTGGCAAGAAATGGAACAGTGAGCTCTCGACTCCTAGGAACCCTTTCGAATTTGCGTTTCAATCTGTTGATTCCCGTTCTCCTTTGTCACGTTTTGCTGAATTGGGTCGAATCGCTCCGATTCAGATTTTGGTACCTGAAATTCGATTCCTTTCTCCTGTCGACTTCGGTTCTTCTTTTCCTTGGTTTTCACTCTCATGGATCTTGCTTTTGGATGATATGTTTCTGTGATCCGTTCGATGCTTTGCGTACAAAGTTCAGCTTTTTAGCTTGAGTGGTGGAAAAATATCTGTAACTGTTGTGAATTTCTGCCAGATTTTGATGATTTGTCTCTTGCTCTAACCACCCTCGATTTGCTATGATCACCGCAAATACTGATTATTCTTTGTGGGCATTATCGTGTAGATTTCGTTGAGTTGTTCGTGAAGATTATTCTTTGAGGAGTCTGGCCTTCCTTCCTGCTTTTTGGGTGTTTCTCTTGCTGGTTGATTGGCGCAGATTTGTTGAAGTGATTCACTTGTCCAAGAGATTTTGGAATTCTAATAGAGACTTTAGAAGATGATTTCTAGGTCATATACCAATTTGTTAGACTTGGCGTCTGGGAACTTCCCTGTTATGGGAAGAGAGAGGAGGCGGCTTCCTCGGACGATGACGGTTCCCGATAATGTGTGTGAGCTCGATGAAGATCAGGCCTATAGCGTGTCATCCGATAACCCGTCCTCGATTTCCTCTGACCGAATGATCATTGTGGCTAATCGGCTTCCCTTGAGGGCAGAGAGATGCAATGGAAGCTGGAGTTTTAGTTGGAACCAGGATTCATTGTACTTACAGCTTAAGGATGGCTTGCCGGAGGATATGGAGGTATTATATGTAGGATCCTTGGGTGTTGATGTCGAACCTCGTGAGCAAGATGATGTGGCGCAGATACTGTTGGATAGATTTAAGTGTGTTCCGACTTTTCTTCCACCAGATTTGCGATCAAAGTTTTATGATGGTTTCTGCAAGAGGCTGCTGTGGCCACTCTTCCATTACATGCTGCCCTTTTCAGCAGATCATGGAGGCAGATTCGAGAGGTCTCTTTGGGAAGCTTATGTGGCAGCAAATAAATTGTTCTTCCAGAAAGTGATCGAGGTTATAAACCCCGATGATGATTACGTGTGGATACATGACTACCATTTGATGGTCCTACCGACATTTCTGAGAAGACGTTTTAATCGGATAAGGATGGGTTTTTTCCTCCACAGTCCATTCCCCTCGTCTGAGATATACAGGAGTCTTCCTGTTCGCGAAGAGATACTTAAGGCTTTGCTCAATAGTGATCTCATTGGTTTCCACACATTTGATTATGCCCGTCATTTCCTTGCTTGTTGCAGTCGGATGCTAGGTCTGGAATATCAATCTAGAAGAGGCTACATTGGTCTTGAATATTTTGGAAGAACTGTGGGAATCAAGATTATGCCTGTTGGGATCAGTATGCCACGGATTCAATCCGTGATGAGACTTTCAGAAGAGGAGGGTAAGGTGAGAGAGCTCGAAAAGCGTTTTGAAGGTAGGACAGTGTTGCTTGGCATTGATGATATGGATGTTTTCAAGGGTATTAACTTGAAGCTTCTAGCCATGGAACAGATGCTTAAGCTACATTCAAAATGGAGGGGAAGGGCTGTCCTTGTCCAGATTGTAAATCCTGCTAGGGGTAAAGGAATTGATATGGTGGAAACATGTGCTGAATTACAAGAAAGTTGCAGGAGGATCAATAAAGAATTTGGGGAACCCGGGTATCAACCCATCGTATATATTGATATTCCAGTTCCTATAAGTGAAAAGGTTGCTTATTACAATATTGCTGAGTGTGTAGTTGTCACAGCCGTTAGAGATGGTATGAACCTTACTCCTTATGAATATATCGTCTGTAGACACGGGTTGTTTGGCTCTGAATTAGATTCCAGCACTCCAAAGAAAAGCATGCTGGTTGCATCAGAGTTTATTGGGTGCTCTCCTTCACTTAGTGGGGCTATACGTGTAAACCCATGGAATGTTGAGGCGACTGCAGAGGCATTGAATGAGGCCATCTCAATGGATGATTCCGAGAAACAGCTGCGTCATGAAAAACATTTCCGGTATGTTGGTAGCCATGACGTAGGTTATTGGTCTAGAAGTTTCTTGCAAGACTTGGAGAGGATATGCGCTGACCATTTCAAGAAACGGTGTTGGGGAATGGGGATTAGCTTCGGTTTCAGAGTTGTTGCACTTGATCCCAATTTCAGAAAGCTTTCAATTCCCTACATTGTGTCAGATTACAAAAGGGCAACAAGTAGGGCTATATTGTTGGATTACGATGGCACTTTGATGCCACAAAACTCCATCAACAAAGCTCCCAGCCGGGAAGTTATCGACCTCTTGAATGCACTTTGTTCCGACCCGAAGAATAAAGTTTTCATAGTCAGTGGAAGAGGGAGGGACAGCTTAGACAAGTGGTTTAGTCCTTGCGAAAGCCTTGGAATTGCCGCTGAGCATGGATACTTCTTGAGGTGCTTTTCTGTACATGTCACTCTTGTCTAATGTGTTAAAATTCTCTTCTTTGTTGACTGTTGGACTCTTTGCTTCCCTTCCCCTCATCTGCATTTTGTGCTATGCAACTTATTGCACCTTTTTTTTTTTTTATAAATAACATTGTTAATGTCTTGTGCCCATTGCTCAGGTGGTCCCAGGATGACGAATGGGAAACTTGTGGTCAGAGTGCTGACTTTGGGTGGATGCAGATTGTGGAGCCTGTAATGAAACAATATGCTGAATCTACTGATGGCTCGACAATTGAAGCTAAAGAGAGTGCTTTGGTTTGGCAATACCGGGATGCAGATCCTGTCTTTGGATCTTTACAGGCAAAGGAAATGTTAGAGCACTTAGAGAATGTTCTAGCTAATGAGCCTGTTGCTGTTAAAAGTGGTCACTACATCGTCGAAGTCAAGCCTCAGGTATTTACCGTCTTCTGCCCATCTACTTTTTTGTTTTTTTTGCACATGTACACTCAAAGTTCTTGGAATTGTTTAACGAATCTTATTCCTGGCTCGTTTGTTTCCTGCTCAGGGCGTTAGCAAAGGATCTGTGGCAGAAAAGATTTTCACATCAATGGCCAAGACGGGGGAGGCAGTTGATTTTGTGCTATGCATAGGCGATGACCGGTCTGACGAGGACATGTTTGAATCCATAGGTAATGCGATGTCGAAAAAGATTCTGTCTGAAAATGCTCTAGTCTTTGCATGCACAGTTGGCCAAAAGCCGAGCAAGGCAAAGTATTACCTGGACGACACCTCTGAAGTGACCAGCATGGTTGAATCGCTGGCCGAAGTGTCAGAGACTTCGAGCTTCTCTACAAGAGACCTCGAGGGTGCCCTTTGAGTTGTAACTCGTTCTCTTTACCAGGTGCTCCCCTTTCCATTTCTCCACCATTTTTTGCTAAGATTTTGAATCGGACTGAGACACAAAACATGTGATAATCTAATACTGATGATCATGGGGATGTAGATGGTGAAATGTACATCGGAAGGTGAAGAAAGACTGCTGGAACTTGGTCGGAATTTGATGTAAGGCTCTGAAGGTAAGTTGCCAGATGCTCAGAATGCATTTGTTTGGATTTTTTTCCCCTTTTTCTTTAATGCGCAGAGGATGTAGCATTACCAGCTAAGTTCTTTTCTTTGATCCTCTGATTTTGGTAATTGATTCTGCCACAACTCAGGTAGAAATCAATACTGTTTTTTTTTGTTGTTGCAAATTCTCTATTGCCATCTGATATTTGGATTCAGGGTGTTTATTGGATCTGTGAAAAAAAAAGGGTGTTATGTAAAGATAACTTTGTGTCTTAGGAATTTGTAACATTTGGATATGGCTTTTTATTACTATTATGCCCTTCACACCAAAACAGAGCAATAGGATTTTCATGCAACTAAACCCTGATGTGATGATGTGTGGGGTGTGGTGTCTCTTTACATTTGTTGTTCTGTCTTTGATATCTTTAGTTGCTGATAGCTTCTTTGATTTCCGTTCCGAACAAAATCGGATTATGCGAGTAATCCTGGTGGTGAATCATTTGGCTGATAATTGATGTAAAATATGGCAGCAATGTTTGGACCATTGTTTTGTATCTCACTCAGAGACACTTTAAAGACACATTGAGCTCTCTCTCACCTCACTTCACTTGCACCTGGATTCCCTTTTTCCTAAATCCTAATCAGAAAACAAAGTTATGATATATATATATATATATATATCCTATTATTTGTTCAAATAATAATACAAATGTGATGACAAAAAGAGAGACCCAAAGAAATAATCAAAACCGTGTTGTTTGATTCAACTTCTTACAAATCCTACAAAACAGGTTTCATATTTTCATACAAAGACAACATAAGAGAAAAAAAAAAACACAAATAACTTGTGCCCTGAATTCACTGGCTTTCCCGGGACATGTTTGTTTCTTTTGTCTTGTTTCCTGTTCTTCCTCTGTATGTGTGGTTGGTTTAGCAGAAACCGAGTCGTCTTCTTAGAATATGATTCCCTGCCTTATTTTCATCATTCCTCCGGATCGGTTCTAAACGCTCATCTGATAGATGATGTAAGATGTCGCAGATGCAGAAACAGAGCTCCTCTTTTTGCAGGGACACACACACACATTATGTTTGGTAATATGAACAAGAGAGAAAGATTCACCATTTCATTCCTCTTCGGACCTACCAATCTCTCCAGAGTAAGCGTTAGCAGAAGGCATTCCACGGTGCCCCAAGAGGACAAGATCGAGAAGCTTTCTCCTTGTGTTGTAGACGGAATTTGGCTCTATCAGACATCCTCTCTCATAAGCCTCTCTAAGAAACACAGTGTGTCTTTTCCCTTTGGTTGACAGATAAAACATACCCGGATGATCCAAGAATAGATCTCTCATGTTCAAATCGATCGCGAACCATTTTCTGAAGTGGCTGATCTTCTCTACCCCGACCATCTTCTCTACGGTCAGGCTGAAGAACTCATGAACCATTG